TGAGCCATTTGGTACAAAGCATACCAGTTGGGTACACTTGTAGATGGTACGTTGGCCCAACCTGTAAAAAAAGCAAAGTTGCACACAACAGAGTTCTCCAACTGTCCAGGGAAGACAGACAATCTTTGCTGGGGATTCACTACTGAAGAATCGAAAGAATATTCGGCGAAAGACAAGCAGACAGCAGGACAGTGTGCTGTCTTCTCATAGCCAAGACATGAGATGTCACTCTGCGATTAAATAGACTTCTGAAGTTGACAAGTGAGGATCCACTGGTGATGGTTCTTATCAGCACTAATAAGACTGCCTTGTGGGATATCGCACAGATAGTTGATGACTTCAGGGATTTTGGACGTGTGCTGAAGAAGAATAATGTCCAAGTAATCTTCTCTGAGATCCCTCCTGTCCCATGACTGAAGAGAACCACTGGGCAGGTAAGTGGTGGAAGGTTTTGGTTTTGTGGAGCAATGGTCCACTTTCTGTGGGGAGAAATCGTTTGGATGGCCTCCACCTCAGTAGAAGGGGACCGAGTCTCCTCAGGGACAGGCTGGCTAAAGTAGTCACATGTGTGGTAAACTAATAATAAAAGGGGAGGATAATTCTTTAATTGCCTAGGAGCCCGGGTAACAAACAAGAGGAATTGGAATTGCTCATTTATTAGCATAAGTTCAACCTAGTCAGTATTACAGAAATCTGATAGAAAGACTTGCATGACTGGAATGTTAAAATCACTGGTTATGTTTTATTTAGGAAAGATTGAGTGAGCAAACTGGGAGGGGAAGTAGCACTCTGTCAAAAATGGCATTTTCTGTTTCCAAGTCACTGATAATTCAGAAGAAAATTATCTTGAATACTTATCAATCGATGTTCTAACATAAAGCACAAGATGGGGTATCAGTTAGTGTCGGCTACAGAACACCAAATCAGGCTAGGGAACAGGATAACTGGCTCCTTATGCACCTATCTATAATGTGTAGGGAAAAAAGCTGCGTCATTATGGGGGACTTCAATCTGATTGACACACTCTGAAGGTCTCGTGCTGCCAGTATTAAAACTTCCTTGGTATTTCTACATGTGATAGATACCTATTTCCTATTTTAAAAAGTATTTCAACCAACATGGGGGAATTCTATATTAGTTTTAGTCTTGATAGATAAAAAGGAACTAATCACAGAACTGAAAATTAACGGTAGCTTGGGTACCTTAAGTATCATGATCTGATTATATTTTTAGTGTGGAAACAGAATAAAGGCCAGATCAGTTTTTATTTTTTATTATTATTTATATAAACTGATCTGGCCTTTATTCTGTTTCCACAGAATAAAGTCCAGATCAGTTTATACATATAATAATAAAAAATAAAAACTGATCTGGCCTTTATTCTGTTTCCACAGAATAAAGTCCAGATCAGTTTATACATATAATAATAAAAAATAAAAAC